CCGGGGGCGTCTAGTCCTAAATTCGTAACTTTTTTCTTTCTTTCTTTCTATCCTTTTTCGTGACTTGCTAGAAACCGATCCCATTTCAGAGGATTTCGGAGTCGTCGCGTGAGGGATGCGGTTGGTGCGACACTGAAAAGCCAGCAGCCTTGGTCCCCCTCCCCCTTCTTCCACCCCCCCCCTCCCCACTCCCTACACATCGTGCCCTCCCCGACCCATTTCCCCCCATAAGACTAACCCAAGATAAAGCAACATCGCCCCCAAAAGATGTCAGCGTCACGTAGATGTTCTTAAGAAATAAAAAAAGTCTACTTTTTGGCTTCGCACCAGTCGTATCCCCTCTGAGACGTGCCGTTTCCCCTCACTTCTCCCCTCCTGTGGGTTGTCCTGGGAGTAAAGGGTTTTCATCTTGATAATCTTCTACTCAGTGTCTCAGCAATGAACCAAATGTGGTGTACAAACTTGGCGCTTGGCCCAGGGTTGCGCCGTGCAATGTATAGAAACTATCTGTTCTGTCAGTAACTATAGGTAACTGTATTGTCTACCGGACTATTCAATAAGGTTTATAAGTGGTTTTTAGCCAAAGGAAAGATCGTGTTCGTAAGAAAAGTATATATATATATATATATATATATATATATATATTATATATATATATATATATATATATATATGCATATATATGTATATATACATATATACAGATATGTATATATCAGAAGTTCTTATTCATTTGTTAGAGCTGTAGATGATTCATGTGTTAAAGCCTGGTTTCTAGATTTTTTCTAGAAATATGTTTGATAAATCACATTGGATGCCATTTTAGAGCGTGTTTGATATAATATACTTGTGTCAAAATAGTTATTCTGTGTAAAAGTTATCATGTAGAACGACAAATATGGGCGACCTTGATACATTATCCTTGGGAACCGGTGATTCACACGATATTTTTAAGACAGAGAAAGACTTCTTAGGTTGTGTCCAATCACACGAGGATTTGCTTGAATGCGAGGTCGTGTTAGTATCAAGGATTCGACCAACTTTAAGAAATAGGAGGAGAATCCTGTGATTAGAAAAAAGAAAAAAATATATATAAATGGGCCCCCTCCAACCCTCTCCCTCGACCAAGAACCCTTGGGGTACCCTTAATCATTTCCAAGTGAAAATTAAAAAAAAATATATAGGGTAAAGAATGCAAACTTCCACGTATATAGTCCCGAAAGGCTTTAATTATAAGAGGCGTGATCCTGCCAAGTACAAATTGAATTTTGTTACTCCCTTTTGCCTCGGGGATTTTAGTTTCCTGTGAAGAGGGAACTCGCGGAAGAAGTATATCGAAGAAACTAAATAAGATTCACTGAATTATATCCCAAACAGAACACTTCAGTACTTAAAAAACTAACTTCCTATTCAGATTTTATTGTTAAGTAACAGGTTTCAGCCATTGCACGTATGGAGTCTTGATGGCCGTTCCCCGCTAACTAGTTTTCATAAGTAGAAAACGTCAGATGATCGATTATACAACTGTAAAACACGTCCTCTCTAGACTTAACCAGGAATAAAAGTAGCCAAAAACCGATATCCACTAATTCTAATATACATATGCATACACCTACGTGTGTATATATATTATATATATATAATAATATATATATATATATATATATATATATATAATATACATATATATATATAATATATAATAATATATATATATATATATATATGTATATATATATATAATATATATTATAATATATATATATATATATATATAAATTATATATTATATGTATGTATATATATATATATAGTATATATATATATATATATATATATATATAATATATATATATATAATATATATATTTATATATATATATATATATATATATATATATATAATATATATATATATATATATATATATATTTACACCCTGATTATTAATTTATTAATTTTGGGATTAATATATGTTTCTGAAACCTTCATTTTATATATATTTATATGTATATATATATATAATATATATATATAGTATATATATATATATATATTAATATATATATATATATATATATATATATATGTATGTATATATATATATATAATAATATACATATGTATATATGTATATATATGTATGTATATATACATATATATACACACACATATACATATATACATATATATATATATATATATATATATATATATATATATATGTATTGTATGTATGTATGTTATAATGTATAGATATGTATCTATTCATATATATATGTGTATATATACATATACATATATAATATATATATATATATATATATATATATATAATTATATATATGTATATATACATATATATATATATATATATATATATATATGTATAATATACATATATATTATATATATATAATATATATATATATATATTACATATAGTATAATGTATAATATATATAAATAATATATTTATACACACACACACATTACATATATATAATATATATATATATATATATAATATATATATATATATATATATATATATAATGTATGTATATGTATATGTATATATACATATACATATGTGTGTGTGTGTGTTACACTTGTCGGAACTCTTTTTAAATCAAAAATAAATTTAGATATCAACTGAAATCAACTTATTTAAGTTTATACAATGCACAAAACACGCATTTATAAATAATATAGCGATTCACGATCTTTTCCTTTGTATCAACCGTTTTCAAAAATATATCTCTAGAATGAATAAAAAAAAGAATCAGATTCATTATCAAACACTGATATCAGGAAAAAATAGCATCAAATGGTATTTCT